AGAACTGCAGTCAGCTGAAGTAGCCTGCAGTGCTGCATTTAACCACTGCGCCACCTCGGCTCCTATTTCCTAGCGCCGTGATGGCGAATCTATAGCACGCATGCCAGAGGTGGTACACAGAGCCCTCTCTGTGGGCACGTGCCGTCGCCCGCTGCTCTTCTGGTTTCTGGTGTGAGCTGGTCTTTGCGGGCACTAGAGCACTGGAAAATGGCCCTAAAAATGGATGAAAACCAGGCCATTTTAAGGCTGTTTTGGGGACAGAAAAATGGCCTGAAAACAATCCAAAAACGGTTCCAAAAACGGCCATGCGCACGCCAGCCAACTGGTCTTCGTTTCCAGTGCTCCAGTGCGCGCGCACACACACACACACACACACACACGTGCATGCATACCTGTTCTAGTTTGAGCACTTGATGCCGAAAAGATTCACCATCACCGTCCTTAGAGGTTGTCTTTAGACTAGTCCAGTGTTTCTCAACCTTGTCAACTTGAAGATGTCTGGACTTCAACTCCCAGTGGGAGTTGAAGTCCAGACATCTTCAAGTTGACAAGGTTGAGAAACACTGGACTAGAGTAACTATCAGCAAATTCTGGTCAAGACAGGTTTCTAGCATGTCTTCTGTAGTTTCTTTAAAGACGGTAGGCTCCGTTTGCCAGTTGCAGTTGGTAAATTAGTTGTTCAGTGAATCCGGCTTCTCCATTGACTTTGCTCGTCACAAGGTCCCAAAAAAGGATCATGTGACCTCAGCACATTACAGCTGTCACATAAGTATGAATCAATTGCCAAGCATCTTGAATTTTCATCACTTGACTGCTGCATAAGTCGTGTGGGAAACAATATAAGCCACTTTTTTCAGCGGTGCTGTTACTTTTAATGGACACTAAATGAACCAGCTGTTGTAAGTCGAGGACTGTCTATTGAAAGAGGAAGTTCGAAAGTAGGTCAAACCCCACCTCACCCCCCACCCCGAAAATGAAAGTAAATTCTGTAAGGCATCAAGCTTCTTCCTATTGTTGGATTGTTTTTGCTCCGATTTTATGACTTTTTGCATAATTCGCATTTCATTCTGGGAGGAAGCAGCTGACTCTAAAGAAATGCCCCATTAAGAATACCCTATTTGAAGGCAAAAAATGAAGCAGCAGCCAATAATAGCCTGCAACGTAACACGTCTTATTTTATTACGGTTTTGATCTGGGGAGGATAGTCTAAAGCAGTGTTTCTCAACCTTGGTCACTTGAAGATGTCCGGACTTCAACTCCCAGAATTCCCCAGCCAGCATTCGCTGGCTGGGGATTTCTGGGAGTTGAAGTCCGGACATCTTCAAGTGACCAAGGTTGAGAAACACTGGTCTAAAGGTTAAATTAAATATTTTAAACTGTTATTTTAAAGGCGAGCCCGAGCAACGCCAGCATCCTTCTCCCCTCACGGCCAGAGGCCAACTGCCACATCTTCAAAGCAGGAGGGCTGCCTCGAGGAGGGGCGGGGGGGGAAGCAAGGCGATCTCGCGAGACTTCAAATCGGCCAGACCCTTTTTTTTTTTTTCCTTTTCCTTTTCTTTCTGTTGTTGTTGCTGGTTCGGTTTGGACTCCACCCCTCGAAGCTTTGGGCGGGGCCGCGCTCGCTCACGGGAAGGGAAAGAGGGAGCGAGGCGCGCGGGTCGGGCGTCCCGCCCTCTTTCGGCGATTTAAAGTAAAGGGGGGGGGGGAAGCGCGGTGGGCGTGGCCCGGCAAGAAGGGGGACGAATGCGAGGAGGCGGCGTTCCTCGCGCGCCGAGGGCGTGGCTGTTCGAAAAAGGCCAATGGGATGGGAGAGGAAATCCCGAGGGCGTAGCCTTAACAGGGAGTGCGCGTGCGTAGTCGCGCGCCGCGCCCCCGCCCTTCGTCGTCCCCTCAGATTTCCGTTAATGGCGCTACAACCTGAGGGGCTCTTATACCTTCTTCGCGCCGAGGGGCTTGGCCGCTAGCCGGACTGGCTGGAAACGGGCGTTGTCGGAGAACGGACCGAGTAGCTCCGGCGCGGCCAGGTAACGACCTTCTCCGGCCGGGTTTCTCCAAGAGCTTCTACCCCCTTGACCGAAAAGGCGCTAGTCCTCTCGAAGGAGCGGGTCCATTGCTTGTGGTAGCCGAGTGTTGTTTTTTTTTCCTTTTCTCCACGTATTCCTCAAAGGAATGTCTCTCTCCCTCTTCCCGAAAAAGAACTCTTTTTCAGGAGACTCAGCTTCCCTCTTCCATCTCCTCACAAGGATAAAAGAGCTCCAATACCCATCATTCCCAGCCCTCCTTGTCTCGGAGAAATGGACGGTTTACACCTCCCTTCGCTTGCCAAAAATCTTTTACTTTTCCCTTTAAATAAAATACAAAGGAATAATTTTCATTCACTTTGAATGAATATTTCAATTATCGTCTTTTTATTTAAAGAAATAAATAAGAAATAGGGCGGAAATGCACAATATTTTAACATGCAACCGAGGCTCTTTCTTGTAACCTATTGGAATGGGGAGGAAATACTTAACTTTAGCTACAGACATCATAATGAATGGGCAGCTGCTGATTACTATTACAAATGATGCATACAAAAACATGCATTATAATATGTGCAATAAATGTATACTGCATTTATAAAATGTGCATGTCATTGTGTATAGACAGACACACAAACACAGACATGCAAACGTTTTATAAATGTACTTGTTCCTATTCAGTTCCTTTGGAGATGATATGAAGTGTAATTTTCTATTCAATTTTTTAAATTTTAATAGTTTTCTGGCACTTCTAATGCTTCGTGTTATATTGTAAGCTAGCCCAGAGACACTGTACAGGTAACCCATGACTTACAAAAATTCATTTAGTGACCATTCCAAGTTACAAAAGGCACTGAAAAAAAGGGACTTGTGACCATTTTTCCACACCTGATGACCATTGCAGCATCCCCAGGGCCACGTGATCCAAATCCATACTCTTGGCAACTGACTCCTATTCATGATGGTTGCAGTCTGCCATGGTCATGTTCTGCCGTATGGAAGCCATATTCACTTGACAGCTGTGTTACTAACTTTAAAAACTGCAGTGGGTCACTTAAAAACTGCAGCAAGAAAAGTCGTGAAATGGGGCAAAATGGTCTCACTTAGCAGCAGAAATTTTGGACTCAATTGTGCATCTTTCTCCTTCTGTTCTGGCCACTTTTTACAGAGGCACAGTTCAGAGTGTTTTAACAAACTACATCCCTGTTTGGTTTGTGGACGACAAGAGCCTCAACTAGAAGGTCCATATAGAGAGTGGTGAGGACAGCTGAGAAGATTATAGGAAGTTTGCTTCCTGTCATTCGGGAGACTGCTTAACAAGTGCTATATGTTTAGAACTCAGAGCATTGTTAGAGACCCCAGACACTCACTTCACGGTCTGTTTCTGTTGCTCCCCTCTGGGAGGAGGTTTCAAAGTATTTCTTGCAAATTCTGTTAGCAGCTTTGTTCTCTAATTTTTGTTGCATAATTTTGTATTTATTTATTTTGTCATGTTTATGTCGTGTATATTGGAGGTGGAGACGCTTTGAGAGCTGTAAGCAACAAAATTTCATTTTAATGTATGCCGATTAGTGCACATTCAAAGTGAAAATAAAGTTAGTCCAGGTCTGTCATGTACGTCCAGGACTACCTGTAGTAAATCCTCAATGTCAATAGCAATTATAGTTCTTTTTAAATCACGTGAATTCTTGGCATTCAATTTTATTGGCTGCTTTATGATCTGGGTGGGACATTTTTTCCCCATATAAATAGTCTTCTGTAGGCCTGTAAGATTCAATGCAATATTTGGATTTTGATATACTTCTGTTTCCCTGAAGGTGGTGAAGAAGTGGGCATTAGGACATCTTGCTACCATGGGAGCACAGGATCGTCCCCAGTGCTTCTTTGATATCGAAATTAATCGAGAACCAGGTAAGGTCTGAGGCTATATCAGTCTCTCTCTTTTTCTAAAAAGAATATTGGTTTTGTGATACCTTAGAGCTCATGCTTGTCTGCACTTGAATTTTAATGGTTATGTGCCATTTTTATAAAGGTCAAGTAGTATTTCTGAGTAGCAATGCAAAGTGAAAAGAAGGACTAGGGGTGACATGATAGCAGTGTTCAATATTGAAGGGCTGCCACAATAAAGAGAGATCAACCTATTCTCCAAAGCACCAGAAGGCAAAACAAGAAACAATGGATGGAAATCAATTAAGGAGTGCAGAAACCTAGAACTAAGGAGACATTTCCTAACGGAATAATTAACCAATGGAATAGAATGTCCTGCTTGAGAAGAGAATTGGACTAGGAGATCCCCAAATTCCTTTCTAGCTCTATTCTCTCTTTTATCATGATGACATATGTGCTTGTATGGTCTCTTTTTGTTGTATCGACAAATGAACTGGAATTGATTGCATAATACACAGCAATGGCACAACAAAATGTTGATTTAATTTATTATTATTATTATTATTATTATTACTATTATTATTATGTACTTTATTCATTAAACATGAAATTCAGCCAACTGAATATTCAAAAATTCATTACAAATACCAGTGACTGGTGCTAATGGTTGATACAGGTTGCTTCTGGCGTCCTAGGTATCAACCAAGTGCCTTCTTAAAGTATAAGGTATTCTGAGTAACATAGTTTTTTGCAGTTCCGCTGGTGTTATTGCAGGAAGCTGCAATTTGTTGATGTATTATTATTATTATTAATAATAATAATTCATTACTGTTATTATTATTATTGTATAAATAAGTGAGATCAGCCAGATGAAGCCTGGAAGTAAATGAGGTGACAGCGGTTGCAGCCAGATCAACCTCATATCCCATAACTAGGAAAAAAGTAACATTAAATACATTTTCTGATAATAAAGCTTTCTTAAAAAATTAGAATTGGATGGAAGGATGAAACCATCTTTCTGTCTTTATTCCAGTTCCAAACACTTTAATACGTAGGACGTGAGATGTGTCCAAGTGTTTCTAACTTTGGAAAGCTCTGCTGTCAAAAAAACCCCTTGTCCTACTTTTACTATTTCTATTCTGGAGTCACTGGATAATTTCTTGATGTGTTACTTTCAGGTTTATAGTCAGTTTTTAGGAGTAAAAGTGCTTTTTATTTTCATATATCAAACTGCTTTGAATATTTAAGTGGAGGAAAACAGTTTAGAAAGAATTAAAATGAGTCCAGATTATTTTTGTATTCTAAACATTTTGGTTCCTATACTTTCAGCTAAAAGGTGTAAAGTAATTACATTGTTATACAAAGAAGCATATTCTCATGTCAGTTATGCAACACAAATGATACTTTTTCTATTTGGTAAATGTGTTTCACACATTAAACAAATGAATATATAAAACACATTTACAAAACAGAAATGTATCACTTGCATTTAGATAACTGACATGAAAATATGCTTATTTGTATAACAGTGTATACCTTACTCCTTTTAGTTGAAAGGATGGGAATAACTTAAAAAATAGCTTTTCACCCCACACAGTGACTAGAAGGATCTTATACAAAAAAAAGCAGAAACAAAACAATAGACAATAGAAGCAATATTTGGTCTGGTATAAGGTATATTTACTGCCGAGTTATTTATAAAAATAATAAAGACAGATAGATACTGTATTGTACTGAATGCCTGCTGTTGAAAGACCAAGTTGTCACTTTACAAGTAATGCTCGACTTAACAACCATTCATTTAATTATTCTTCAAATTATAATGGCACTGAGAAAAGTGAATTATGACCAGTTTTTGAACATATTTTGTGTTTGTGCACGTGTATAAGTCACGTACATACTTAACCATATGTGTAGGGATTTGAAAATAGGTACTAACCAAGATTCCTATTTTGTTGTTGTTCTAGAAATTCTCACTGCAACTTACTTGCTCCGACGTGTTATAAAATTGTTATTTTTGGACTAGGATTATAATTAAAGCACATAAAAATACTTAACCTGGTCATTTGTGGAAAATGAAAGTGATCACTAAGCATTTCTAAGTACTCTGGCTGTGGCTTTCACTTGTTTTTTCCTCTCTCTACTGTAAAACAGAATGTGAGATGGTTGCAGTTTCTGTAAGACAGATGTGGGTTTGAGAAAGGGCAACCAGATAAAGTTGAAGGTTCATTTAAATGGAAATATGAGAAAACAGTTTAATTTCCACAGCATAGTTTAAATCCATGATAAGGTAATCTTAAAAAGCTGCAAAAGGCTTTAGTTGGCTGTGTAAAAATAGAATTTAATTAAACTTTAATTTATATTCCAGTTGGTCGTATCATATTTCAGCTTTTTTCTGACGTATGTCCAAGGACTTGCAAAAACTTCCTTTGTCTATGCACAGGTACGTCTTGTTAAATGTTGTGAATAATTATAATTTTATTGCAATTATCTTTGGAGCCACTTGGAAAATAAACACAAGGTCAGGCATAAATGACTGCCAGAAATTGTGTTTAGCAGATTAAAAAAAAAACCTGCAACACACAGAATCCTTTTTTCAAATTATTAGTCTGTTCCTATAGAGTAACAAATGTGAATTTCCCTTAGAGCATAAAATGTTTATTGCAGGATCTCTGTTTTGGAAATGTCTGTTAGGAATGGACTGAAGCCTGCTACAAAAGTGGACTGTATACAGATAGTCTTTGACTTACAACGGGGCATTTAGTGACAACTTCATTGAAAAATGTGACATGATCATTTTGCAGCATCCCCATGGTCACATGATCCAAATTGAAATGCATGGCAACTGATTTATATTTGTATTGGGTCACGTAATCCCCTTTGCTGCCTTCCAACAAGCAAAGTCAACAAGGAGGCCAGATTCACTTAATAACTATGTGGCGGATTTAACAACCGCAGTGATTCACTTAACAACAGTTGGTAAAAAAGATGGTAAAAGGGGGCAAAACCCACTTAACAGCTGTCTCACTTAGCAACTGAAATGTTGGGCTCAATTATAGTTATAAGTTGAGGATTTCCTATACTCCTTCATTGAGCTGGCTAAAACAAAGGGATAAAAATGGAATGTCTAAATGTTACTTAATTATACCTAAATGTTATTATATTTGATATAGGGTATCTCTGAAAATTACAGAGTTGAGCTGCACTGCAGTATTGGGTGTTAGCCTTTTCCCTTCAAGGGAACCTGGAATTTCATCTGCTCCCAGAAATGTCAACATCCCATCTGCATTATGGCTATCTTTTTTTTCCAGCCCAGTCATAAAGAAAAGCAACCAGCCAGTGGGAAAATATGATTAATAATAACTTAATCTGGTTGACCAACTTCTTATCAGTGACATTAAACTTTAAAGAGGTGGGAGGCTAGTAGGAAAATCTAGGTTGTTTATGTGGTCCTGATTCCATACTGGAAGTCCTTGACTTGCAACCATACATTTAGTGGCTATTCAAAGTTACAACGGCACTGAAAAAACTGAATTTAACAACTGGTTTTTGCACTTAACAATTGGCACAACGTTGCCCCTTGTCACTTGTTCAAAATTTAGGCACTTGGCAACCAGCATATATTTATAATGGTTGCAGTGTCCCGAGGTCACGTGGTCGCCATTTGCAACCTTGCCAGCTGGCTTCTGACAAAGTCCATAGGGAAGCCAGACTCGTTTAATGATGTGTGATTTACTTAACAACTGCAGTGATTTGCTTAACAACTTGGCAAAAATTGGGTGCAGCTCACTTAACACTAAGCGTTGCTTAGCAACAGAATTTCAGGTCCAAGTTGTGGTCCCGAGTCAAAGACTACCTGTATCCTTTTTAACCATTGTTGTTGTTGTTCGTCGCACAGTCAGCCAGACGTTCAGACTGGATTGGGCCTTTTTGTCCACCTATCGAGTCCTTCCCAAGGACCCAGGATAGGCAGATGTGGATGTTTGATGGTGTTAAAGGTATTGTCGCAGGATGTCAGCTGTTCCAAGTAAAGCTGCCTTTTGCAATTGACCGATGGTGATTTTGTCAATGCAGGTGGTATCAAATATATTTCACTATTCAAGGCAGCTCCAAGCACATTTCTCTGTACTGAATGTTTCTATATTGTAAGATCCCCATGCCAGGAAAAAACGCATTGCCAAAGCATCCAACTATGACTTGATAACGGTGAACACATGTAGTCTTATCTCTGGACAATACTTTATCCTGCTATCCCAAAGGTGCTTTTTCGAAAGGCGACTGGACTTTATTTTTCCTTGAAGATATTTCACTTCTCATCCAAGAAGCTTCTTCAGTTCTGACTGAATGGTAGAGAATGGAAGAATTTGTATTCCTCATAGTCATCTGGTCATTAGAGAGCTGTTGAGGTTATTTGGGGATTTATCTGTGCCCTTGTGGTCACCTGAATAGTGCAAATGGTGTGGAACCTTCTTGGAACTGCTGAAAGCCTCATTTACTCTGTAAGGACCAGATGACTACAGGGAATATAAATCCTACCATTCTCCGCCATTCAGTCAGAATTGAAGAAGCTTCTTGGATGGGAAGTGAAACGTCTTCAAGGAAAAACTGGAAAGTCCAGTTGCCTCTTGAAAATCATCTTTGGGACAACCATGACTTGGATGACTGAGAATCTCCAAATACTTTCATCCTGCTACTTTAATGAAGTCTTAATCGGCAGTCAAAAATGTCTTCCCTCTGTGTTTAGCTCCTGGTAGTAGTGTCTTCCATTTGGAACAGAAGCTCTGCCGAATGTAGTTGGTTATTTAGAAGTCATGTTTGTCCAGCTATGTGCAGTACATACAACTGGACACACTTGTGGCATTAAATGACATGAGACCAAGTTGCAATATCTGACTCGTTCGCCTCTCTTTGACATCATGTCTTGTAACACCGCTGAGAGCTTACATATATTTCCCCCTCATAGGTGAAAAGGGAATTGGGAAAACAACTGGAAAAAAGCTTTGCTACAAAGGCTCAACTTTCCATCGCGTGGTTAAAAGCTTCATAATTCAAGGCGGAGACTTTAGCGAAGGTAAATGAAACGCCCTTACTTTAATCCATCACCCCAAGTTGGAGGAGAGGTTTCCATTGTAATTAAAGGATTGCCCAAAGTTGCGTGGAAAAAATTATGAAACGTTTGTATATATTTAAATATCTACAATAAATGTTCCTTTTTTTCTTTTCAACAAAAAAATAAATATCTTGGATATGCTGTTAGCTCTCATATTATATTATAAGAATGGCAACTTTAAGAATAGATTACATTATATCTGGAATTAAGCCATTAGCTTTTCTTAAAAGACATTCTAATTAGAGTTTTGTATAAGGTAAAATCATATCCTTGTCTGACTCTAAAATTTATCCTGAATATTATTATTGTTGTTGCTCTTTACGGTTGCAAGTCTTGATGGCCATTAAGTGGAACACCCCACATGATCACCTCGTTTGCGACTCCCCCATCCTGCTTTCCCCAATCCAGTCATTAAACATGTGGGTCATTAAATGCAGCACAGACCCTGGCCCTGACCTCCCCCAGCCCCTGAAGCACCCCGTGCCCTGCTTCCTGCTCCTTGGGGTCCCTTCCCACCCCAGTGAATCCCATACCCTTGTAAATGCTTAGTTTAGTCACTGCACTACAAAATGTACACATCCCCTGTGCAGGTCTTAATTAAATGTAAAGAGAAGGTCCCTAATGCTAAAACTCGATGTGAGATCAAATCCTCAAAGGAAACAGCTATAAGCTGTGAAGAGGGAGGGGAAAAAAGGTTTTGAGAAGAGAAACTTAAGTGTTGCTTTCCCAGCCTGTTCTAAAAATAACAGCTTATTTTTTTTCTGTCGGACCAAATTAGGCATCTTCACAGAAGTTGTTTTTTAACTCCCTATTAGTGCAATCTCTTAGAGATAAGATGAGGAGTTGGATTTGGCATCTTCACAGAAGCTGTTTTGTGTCAGGGAGACATTTGTTTAATCTCTCAGGAATTGTGGTTTCCCTGTGCTGTTTGCACATGTGCCAAAGTTAGTGTTATTTGTAGGGAGGATCCAATTAGGCCTATCTCAAACTTAATAGGGAACAGTGGAATTTCAATAAACAGCACTGGAGATGCACTTGGGGAAATCCCTTCATAAGTAACAGATGGTCTTGCTTAATGCAGTTAATCAATCCCACAAAATGGTCACATTTTTTGGACTACAGTAGTACTTGAATTACAACCATTCATTTAGTGGCCATTTGAAGTTAACAATGGCGCTGAATAAAGTGATTTATGACCGTTTTTCACAAAACAATTGCGGCATCCCCATGGTCACATGACTAAAATTTTCACCGCTTGGTAGCTGGCTCATATTTATGACGGTTGCAGTGTCATTTAATTTCCTTTTGCAACCGCCTGACAAGCAAAGTCAATGGGGAAGCCAGATCCATTTAACAACTGTGCTGCTAACGTAACAACTGCAGCAATTCACTTAACAACTGTGGCAAGAAAGGTAAAAAAATAAATAAATGTAATTATTCCATCTTGCTGTAGATAGGCAATTGAGTATTTTAAACATAAATTGGTATATGTTTATTTATGAAATAGCGCAGAAGAATAATAGAGTTTTAAGTATACATGTAGTCCTCAGCTGCCAATTCCTCTCTGGTAAACATACTATGTGACTAGTTAAATTATTTAGTGCTACAGGTAGTCCTTGAGTTACAACAGTTTGTTTAGTGATGGTTCAAAGTTACAACAGCACTGTAAAAATGACTTTCGACCATTTTTCACATGACCATTGCAGCATCCTGGTGGTCACGTGATCAGAACTCGGATGCTTGGCAACCGACTCATATTTATGACTCTTGCAGTTTCATAATTGCAACCGTTATGTGATCACCTTTTGCAACCTTCTGAAAAGCAGAGTCACTACAGAAGCCAGATTCAGTTAACAAATGTGATGGTAACTTATCAACTGCAGTGACTCATATAACAACTGTGGAAAGAAACGTAAAAAGGGCAAAACTCACTTAACTGTCTTGCTTAGTGACAGAAACCTTGGGCTCAATTGTGGTCGTAAGTCAAGGACTACCTGTAATTGCAACTTACCTGTATTTTAAAATTAGGAATCTCACAGATATCACTGTCAATTTCATACTGGTAAACCTGCTAGGTGACTAATTAAATTATTTAGTGGCATTTTCCGGGATTTAACATTCTACCTTCTTAATGCTAGGTAATGGAAAAGGGGGCGAATCTATTTATGGAGGATACTTTAAAGGTAAGCTTCAAGCAGTTATTTTAAACCTCGGTGGCTTCAGCTTTGCAAATTCCAATTTCAGCTTTTCATAACCAGGTTTATATAGCTCCTCTTGCATGAAAGTATAATATTGCATGGATATTCTCTGTGTGCATGAGAGTTTTAAAATTCTTAAGACTTTAAATGTTAGCGTTAACAGTCAACGTTTATGGCGGCAATTGTAGTGGTTAAAACTTGACTTCAGCATGGAGGCTAGCCAACTTGATTCATGCCAACTCCTGTCTTCCTGCCTAAAACTGTCAACATATTCTTTTGTTTATAGAGAATGTGATCTTTTGCAAAATGAAAAGGTAAGACACAAAAGCTCAACACAAATTCAAACTGTTCCCCTGCACCCTTCCTAATAAATCTCTGGTCGGTTGTTAATGAATTTGTGGCTGGGTCCGTGTAGCTTTGGAGATGAACCCAAAATAGTTTGAGAGGCCCAAGATGGCCTTCGGTTTGGAACTAGACGTCCTTGGGATGTCACCTACTTGTCTTTCAACTCAGGTGCTCCTTCCCTTTCCCTGCCCTTTTCGAGGTTTGTATGTGTCTTCTCAATTATTTGGGGCATGTTTTAAAAGTGTTGGATTATAAATCAGATACCAAACAGATTTTCTGTTAGGTTGGTTCCAAATATGTCCTGAACATACTTAGATAGAAGAGAAAAACCTTTTCTAAATGAGCTGCTTTGTACAAAATTACATTCTAAATAAAAGTATAATCATAGGATACAACAGCAATTATTCTTCTCTTCTGCCAATCTGTATTGTAAAGGATTTTGGTTCTTTTCTTCTTAAGATTTTGGACTGGGTAAGTACAACGGTCCTGGTACTGTACAGTTACGGTGTCAAATAAAATCCGGTTAAAGCTGCCAATCGTTTCTGTAATCATCAGTCAGAACAGCATGTTGTAAAATGAGATTTTTCTGCAATGAAACTGAAAGAGATGTATGTGGCGTTCTCGTTTTGTGGATGGCTGTGGTTTGTAGTTGAGAATTAGCTTAAGAAACAAATCATAATTTAATTATCGATAGAACATTTGTAAATCAGGTTTGAATTGTGGGGTCCCTGGTGCTCTCTGAGCTTAGTGGAGACGTTTTATGACCCAACTAGGTAACATCAGTGCTAGAAAGGAATGGGCTTCTAGCTTCTAGCATTCATGATGTTACTGAGTTGGGTCATGAAACGTCTACCAGAAAACTACCAATCTTAAGAGAGCACCAGAACACGCCACATGATTAGCTTAATTACAAGTGGTTTCGCTGTCCAAATCAAAGAAAAGGGTTTTTTGGTGTAGAGGATTCTGTGTTTTCTGATCAAACCCAACTACTGCATGCTGGTGATTCTTAGCCTATGGATTCCTGGAGAAAATGCTTTGGAATTGTTCTTAATTTATTGCCAGTTGTTTAACATTAATGAAGTATCTACACTAGTTTTCTCAACTTTGGCAAAGCTAAGATATGTGGGCTTCAGCTGCCAGAATTCACCGTGGCTGGCTGAGGAATTCTGGGGTTTGAAGCCCACACATCTTAAAAGGCACCAGGATTGAGAAGCACTGATCTACACAGTTAAAAAACAAAAAAAGCACAAGGCATATTGACTTTTCACAAAGAAAATTTGAACTTCCTTAGTGCTCTTATTTCATGGAAACATTCACCGAGATGTAAGTTCTCTCTTAACTGTGGTTAGTCGATGCTTGTACCAAAGGAATCCTTAACACCATAGTTTCATAGAACTGCATGTGATCTGTTCCCTCTGCAACTAGAGGAAACGTGTTTCAATAGCAGGGCTCAAAAAAATCTCTGCAATGTTGAAGAGCAGCCAGAGACCCCACAAAAGTGGTTAACGAAATGGTAAAGTGGCTTGTAATACCGAAAACCTCTGAATATTCTCGATTAAAGGCTGCTCAATGATTGCTTGCGTGCAAAATGTCTTTCTAATGGCATAGATTATTTTTGAGTTTTTACTACACAATTGGATAATTCTTCATGATTGATACTTGGAAAGGGTCTAAATGCCAGGGGGAGGCTGACTTGTCTCTGCTTTGTCTCCTCTTTCAACACAGATGAAAACTTTATTTTGAAACACGACCGAGCGTTTCTTTTGTCAATGGCAAACAGAGGGAAACATACGAATGGTTCCCAGTTTTTCATGTAAGTAAACTTCATTTGAGAGTTAAAAGTACAAACACTTGTTCATAAGAAAGATAGTATTGTCAAAATATTTATACAAGGACAGGAGCCGAAAGGCAGATTTCTGCTTTTTACCAATGAAAGGCAATTATTTGGTTTTCTAGATACAGTGCTGATTTTAAATTCATTAGCTTCGCATGGTCCGTGCCAGAATATAAAGGCATTATCCTTGAATAATGTATTATTCATGTTCTCTTACAAAAAATTTATCGGGGGGAATATCATATCTCAGGTTCTGAAAAGCTGATTTCAGGCATTTTCTTTCGTGAAAGCAGTGAATTCATAGCTTTTATCTCCCATCAATTCCCAGAGCCCAAAGGTGCACAGAGATGGTTTGGGTAGAGAGATCATGCATATTTTAATACATGAAAGGGGGCAGATGGTGGCCCTCTTAATTATGTGATGGGACACAGCCCTCTTTTAGACACGCAGTAGTTCCAGGGAGGAAAACCTCTTAAATATTCTTGAAGTTGGTCTAATGGAAAATATAGGTGGTCCTTGACTTAACAACCATTCGTTTAGTGGCAGTTCAAGGTTACAACGGCACTGGAAAAAGTGACTTATGACCATTTTTCACACTTATGGCCATTAGAATAGCCCCACAGTCATGTGATCAAAATTCGGATGCTTGACAGCTGATTCATATTTATGACAGCAGCAGTGTTCCAGCATGTCGCAGTGTCCCAGGATCATGTGAGCCCCTTTTGCGACCAGCAAAGTCATTGGAGAAACCAGATTCATTTAACATCTGTGTTACTAATTTAACAACTCAGAGATTCACTTAACAGCTGTGGCAATAAAGGTCGTAAAATGGGCAAAATTTCACTTAGTATCAGAAATTTTGGGCTCAGTTGTGGTCATAAGTTGAGAAGTTACCTGTATAGTCATCTACAGGCAGCCGTCAACTACAGCTGGTCACTTAATGATCGAGCCTCCTAGAGCTACTTAAAATTAATTTTGAGATTTATGGCAGACACACACAATCATACACAACACACACCGTGTCACATGAATGTATTTTGGATGCTTGGCAACCAGTTTATTTATGGCTCTTTGCAGGAGCCCAATGTCATGTGATTACATTTCTACACATTTTTGCCAGTTTCTAACATCTGCTTTTGGTTTCTGGCAAAAATACCCCTTGGGTGAAAATGGATTCACTTAACGACTGCAGCATTTGCTTAATGACCGCTGGGGCGGGGAAACTGTTGTAACTTCACATCTAGTCATGTGATGCCTCAACTTACAACTCTAAATGATTTATAGCCGTAATTCCAGGTTTCGATTACAGGCATAATTCGAGGACTACCTGTATAATAAAAATTGATTTTGATCAGTGTTAACTTACCGATAGCCAGGTACAATGTAATTTTAACATTTGTTGTGAAGACTCCATATTAAAATTTGCTCACATTTTCTATCGCTTTGAAAATCTGAAGTGGTAGACTTATATATATAAGGAACTTGGTTACAAAACCCATTCCAGAGTTTTAATTTTATTAGCAAAGCACCTGTCGAAGTGAATTTAACCTGCTGTACTCCAAGTGATTTTGCTGGATTTTATTAGAATCTGTGGTTCAGCATTTTCTTTTCTCCTATTCCTCTACCTACATTCCGGCATTAGCATTTACAAAAACACAAGCTGCATTCATTTTGTCTTGCGTTTGAAACAAGACAACTTGGACTTTTGGTATTTGGTAAATTTTGGTTGTTACTGATTTCAAGCATGTTTAATAGAATTACTGTCCTGGTTGCTATATATGATGTTTCTCCCTACAGTTTGCCATCTTTCTTGATAAGAATGAATGGTGCTTTGTTACTTTCTTAAAGGGATCACTTCTCTAGAAGGTTAAACTGAAAAGGGGTCTCTGCCATTATTGAATAATGTTCAGATAAGAGGTATATTTAGCTTGCTTCCTCAGGCAAGTCACCAAAAACAATATAAAATTGGAAATAACTTTAACCTCATTAGGAAGGTAATGTAGGTTTATAAAGATTTATGTGGTCTAGTTTAGTAGACAGTTGGCTTCCCTTATGCTTGAGATTAGCATGAATTAGACATACAGTGGAAAATAAAAGTAATTTGTTCGCTCTTCCATACTTTTTTCCAGTTTCAAAGCTTATTTGAACTAGTAAAAGTACGACTACTAACACACATGGGTCATGAAGCTGCTAATGGGCTCTAAAGTTTATTTAACATTACATGACAATAATTACAAGAACATTTGATTAATACAGCTGATTATTTATTTAATAATTTTTATGGCTCCCACCTCCCTTACAAGGTGACTCTATACTGCTTACAATTTAGAAAACCTATTAAAACCTATATCTTACAGACTCATTTTTAGCAATAAAAGGTGGTGCCAGCAACTTATCCTATGGTATAACTTTAAATCCTATGCAAACCTGCTTAAGATAAGTTTAACATTCATTGTATAGTACTCTGAGTTCAGGGGAGGTAGATATGCCCTCTTTAATAATAATTATTATATAATGATAACTCTTAAAATTAACAGTTACTTGGTGTAAGAAAGACTAAATAAGTGAAAATGCAGCTGATATAAGATAATCATGTTCTGCCATGACAAACTTTTAAATTGTACTCAAACTCAAGTGCAACATTACAGGTTCAATAAGTTTACAGACAGGTGGTTGGTTGGTTTTGTTTGTTTGTTTTTTGTTGCATAAAAGTAAAATACAGCTTTTGTCCCTTGCAAAGTATAAGTAGTACTTGATTTATAACCATTCATTTAGCGACCATTCGAAGTTACAGTAGCACTGTAAAATGTGACCATTTTTAAACTTAACAACTGTTGCAGCATCTCGCTGGTCACATGATCAGAATTTGAACTTTTGGCAACTGGGTTGTACTTAATGAAGGTTGCAGTGTCCCAGGATCAGGTGATCCCCTTTTACTATCTGACAAGCAAAGCCAATGGGGAAAACCAGGTTCACTTAGCAACCGTGATTATGACTTAACAATTGTAATGATTCGCTTAGCAATTGTGGCAAGAAAGGTTGTAAAATGGGGCACAGCTCACTTAATGGCTGCCCTGCTTAGCAAAAAATTGGGGGGGGGGGATGCCGTCGTGATCATAAGTATTTATTATAAATATTACTGGCTGAAATTTAAAGAGCCAACGAGGTGTTCATCGTACGTAGCAACATCTTGAGGTGCACCGAGACTTTTCATAGAGGAGGGCTTAAACAATATTGCAAGGAAAAATCAGTATTTGCACTTGTGGATTGAATTCTTAGGATGCTCCTGCCAATCTACGCAACAAATTGAGAAGGAATAGAGTTTAAAATAAGGTATGATGTAAGAAATAAGTTATGATACAATGCAGGGCTCAGAACAGCTTTTCTGGAGGCAGGAAAGTAGCTCATAGAAAACTGACGGCAGAAAAAAGACCCAGTGATCCATTTGAGAGTTTTTTGTGTGTATTTTTGTTGCACTTTCAATTTCATTTATGTTTTTATTTTTTTAAAAAAAAATATTATTATTTATTTAATTTTTGTTGGATGATGGACATGTGTTTATTCTAAGCATGTTGAAACTCAGTGACTGGTGATAAAATAGGTGATGATAACAGCTTAGAAGACAGTGATTTTTTTTGTGCTGCTGACATATCTCCTCTCTGCCCCCACTCTCAGAGGCACACCCAAATATTAACATTTGTACTGCAGACTGGGGTTGGTTGAACTGCACCACTGAATATGTGGTTGACATTTTCTTTTTCAGTTGTAAATATTTTGGAACAGTTTTTCATCTTTCTATAATGTGACTGCAAAGGATGGGTTAGGGGGAGAGAGACAAAAACAAGGTTTCTATTCTACCTAGAATATTTAAGGTTTTTCTTCAGCTTTTCCTGTTTTTAAGGGAGAAATTCTAAAAATTGATGGAATTCAAAGGTTATTGAACTGCACATGCTTGGGATTATTTCAATTCTTGAAAAAGTTGCTGCAAAAAAAAAGATGTGGCTCTTTTCATAATTTTCTTACACCTTTAACCTGAAAATTTTTTGTGTCATAAATTGTTTCTTAATAAGTATAACCCCTGTGGGAGTCTGCTGATAGGTACAAAAGAAATATGAATCAAACTGTTGAAGCACTCTATATTCAAACCATGCTAGGCTTGTGTAAAATGAGAGCTTTTACTTACTAATCCCAGCGATTATCCAGATTTGTGAAAAGAATCGTAACACCACATTTATTATAACCATATGATTTCTGATCTCACTAGCATTTATATGTGGGTCGAAAGCATTACGTTACTGATTTTTTTTGGCCTGTTAACAAGCCACAGCATCACCGAGATTAATCCTACCTGCCATGCAGCGCTTTTTCCTGACCATGCTGGAAATCCAGATAATTCCTGCCTTTATTTATGTACTGCTTTGATTTGTGGAAGGGCATTTTAAAATGTGTCCCCTCCCCCCCCGCCGCCCCACCTCTTATTGAGGGCAGGCTGCTGTGCTTTAATAGTCTTTATAAATCCTTCAAGTACAGGTAGCCCTCGAGTTAACTATTGATTATTTAGTGACTGTTCAAAGTTACGACCGTATTGAAAAAAAGTGACTAATGACACTTTTTTCACACTTACAACAGTTGCAGCATCCCCATGGCCTTGAGATCAGAATTCCGACACTTGGCAACTGACTCATTTTTATGACGGTTGCAATGTCCCTGGGGTCATGTGATCTCCTTTTGCAACCTTCAGACAAAGTTAATAAGGAAGCCAAGATTCACTTAACAATCTCGTGACTAATTTAACAGCTTACAGTGATTCGCTTACCAATTGTGGCAAGAAAATTGTAAAACGGAGCAAAATTCACTTAACAAGTCCCTTGCTTGGCAATAGAAATATTGGGCTCAGTTGTGGTCATAGGTCGAAGGCTACCTGTAATCTTTTTGTAACACAAACAAATCGCTCAAATAACTTTACACACGTAGTCATAACTTGCGTGCAACAAGTGTAGGCAAACAAACGATTTTCTGGACAGAGGATTTTATTTTTTGTAGTGACTCTTCAGTGCATAAACAAATCCTATTTCTACTTGTATAAATCCTGAACCATAAACAAAGGTGAACATGAAGAAAATTTAGAGCTCTATTTTTTTTTAAAGTGACCTTGGTTTTGCATACACCTAGAAAATTGCATTCAGCTGAAACGCAAAAAAAAGTACTTTAAAAGCTGTATTAAACATAGTCTCAAGTTTGTTTGGAATTGTACTACAATTTATTTCTTGCCATTTTTGTGTAAAATTTACAGAAACAGTGTTACATCGTGCGCTCCAAAGGTAATGTCTCATTCCTCTAAGGCTGTGTTCTTTCTTTCTTGCTTTCCTTCTTCTTTCTCCCTCTCCCTTCCCCTCCTTTTTTCATTTTCTCCTTTCTTTCCTTCTTTCTGTCTTTCTTCCTTTCTTTCTTTCTGTCTTTCTTGTCTTTTTTCTGATCATATGTGAATTGAATCTTGTGGTGTTCTCCCTGGGGTTGAGAAAGAGACTGAGACTTCTTTATAGCTACCCTGTTCTTTTAAAGCCCTATTTCAGAATAAACAATGCAAAAATTCTTACTAATTGTAAAAGTAATTTTTTCTACCCCAAATTTTGGAAATACAATTTTTTCATCATATTTCTCTAAGCGGGGAAAATGGCTTTGAAAAAACAAATAATGCCTAGATCAATAGTTGATGTGTTCTTGCAAACTATTATCAAGGGAAAAATAGTTACTTAAAATGATCGTAGTTGGTTTATACCCACCGGTTTAAATAATACTCATACTTTGAAATCGGTATTTCAATAATTTTAAATGCAAAGGTTTGAGTAAGTAGTTTTACACCCACCAGTTTAAATAACATCAATATTTTGAAATCAGTATTTCTTTTAATACTAAAATGCAAAGTTTTGAGCTTACAATACACTTCCATTTTGGAGGAAGGCAATAGGTAAGGCATAATTAAGATTAATTCCTATTAATGCTGTTCAAATATATTTTTTCTCCCTCCCTATTTTTCTGAAAATGCTTTGTGTGTTTGAATAAAGGCAACGACCCAAAGTATCTTAATGTTGAAAATTAGTAAAAAAATATTTCAAAATTGTTGATGGATACTTTCACTTAGAACTGGGGGTGTTATACTGATTATCAATTAAACTGTTGGTAGTTTTTTCTAATTCAGGATTTCAGTTCAGTTCAGTTGATTATAGTTTAAATTGCACAATTCTGTTCATGTCCTCACTAGATTCAGGTTGTTTTATAGAAAGGGGAACTGAGGCTGAGTGAACCTGCTGAGATCACCCAACCATACTTGGGTCAGAAATAACATTACAGCGTATGAACCTCAATTACAAATATTTAATATGTATCCATATATTTAATTTCCCCGTTTCGTTCATACATATGAAATATGCAATTAGATCCAGCCATAGCAATAGCACATTTAACAGCCATTTGCCAGCAAGGTAAGGATTCATACTTCTGCCCCACATTTTTTAAATATTCTTTGTATTTGGAACACATAAATGTGTGCTAATGATCCCTTTCTGTATGCTCGTTTCTCTGCAAACGCAAGGCTATTCGAACAGAATGATGGTGCTTAATCTTTTAGACCAGTTAAGGAAGAAAAAGCACCCTTGCCTCCCAGTCCTCACTTCATTCCTGACAGATTTTGCTGTCCTCCCTTTGCAAAAAGGAACTCTAGTAATATTTCACGTCTTCTTCCTGAAACACATGCCTTAATGGGCCCGCCTGCTTTTTATTGATTTTAGAGCTAAAGAGCTGGGAAGGTGCATGCTGATCCTTGCCTATTCTTATGACTCTCAAGGCTTGAGAGCAGGTGGGTTAAACAGAATAACAGAAAGGGACCTTGGAGTCCAACCCCCTGCTCAAGTAGGGAACCCTATAACATTTGAGACAAATAGCCGTAGAGACTGCCTTGCCCATGTTGACCTGATTAGCAAATAATTCTGTTAATTTTTCTAGCTTTGCAGAAAGGAATAGTAGGTAAGTTGCCTTATTGACCGCAGGCCCTGAAATATCGTCCCCTGTGTGGGCAGGAGGGTAGTCCTCCAAGCCTGCCCTGCCTTTGAGAGACCAATCAAAAAATGAGATCTGAACAACAATATTTGTAAAAATTTTCAAGCAACAAGATCAGTGTTTGTGGCTGATGAGACTCACATTGTGAATGTATTTGGAGGGTATCTGCCAGTAAGACACATTCTGTGTGGCCTTTGGAGCAAGTGCATATCAATACAGCAACAAGTAGTCCTCGACTTACGCCTGGTTGCTTAGCCACTCTTCAAAGTTCCGATAGATCCCAAAAAAAGCACTTATGGCCCAGACTGAAAGTTCTGACAGTTGCCCCTTCCCCCAATCACATCATATTTTGGGCGCCTGGCAACCAGCGCCCACTTAGCTGACTGAGTCCCACGCTCACATGATCGTGATTTAGGCTTTTTGGCAGAAACTGGTTTCACCGTTCTGGTTTCAGGCAAAAAAACTGGCCATTTCAGACAATAGGATCATTAAACAAGCTTCTTCTTCTTGTGCCATATCCATCCTCGGACATTGGCGATCAGGTTGGTGATCCTATTTTTATTAACAGCCACGTAAAAAATGTTTTGTCCAAACCAATCATTTAGATTTTGAAGTCACAATGTTGTTCTTCTGCCTGGACCTCGTTTGCCTTCAATCTTTCCCTGGAGGATTATGTGAAGGATGCTGTATTTTTCCACGGGGCGCATCACGTATCCAAAATATTCTAACTTTAGCTTTTTTATAATTTTGTTTATGGTTTTTAAGTGCTAAGCAAGCACTTTAAAAAAAAGAGTAAAATTGGGTCAGTGGTTGATAACCTGGTTAATGACCATCACAATTGATGACCCTAATTCTAGACACATTTGTAGTGTAACTCAAGGACTACCTGTACAGATAATCCTTGATTTATAACTGTACATTTAGTGACCAACATTGCAACAGTACCGAAAAAAGTGACTTAAGACCATTTTTCAACTTGGGAAAATAGCATCCCCATGGTCATGATCAAAATTCAGTGGCCGTAAAATGAGGCAAAAGTCATTTAACAACTGTCTCACTTAGCAACCTAAATTTTGGGCTCAATTGTGACTGTAAGTTGAGGACTACCTGTGCTTGGGATATAATGTGCAGCCTTATTCCCATTAGATTGCCCTTTAGTTAAAATGATCCAGGGAATAGCTGCTGAGTTCTTAGACTCAAAAAAGGACTATAAAATGATTGATACTTTGCTTGAAAAATTGAAAATTAAATAATAATGTGTAACTTGGGTTGCTTCTTTATCTGTTCCCTCTTCCCAAAAGATTTTTTAAAAGACTATTTCAGCAAACATTTGTAAAATTACACCAGGACAGTATATTACTTTATAGCTAATTAATAGAGAGGCATTTTCTATGATAAATTCACCAGACACTTCCTGATAATTTAGTTGATAGCCATAATGTTGTCTTTGAAAAACAATTCATTCCCCTAACAAATAAATTGGCAGATTATTTTCAAGGCCCACTAATTCCTCTCTGCAGATTGTCAATATTGTCTTTCGTTTCAAAGGTTTCTTGTATTTTAGCCTAGAGGGTAAAATCACAGAGATACAAGATTCTTAAAGCCACAACCACCATACATGATATTTCAAGTAAATCTGCAGCCAGTTTGATGGAATTTATTTATCAGCAGATAAGTATACAATTGCAGGCTTTGCCACGCCATAAGCTTAATGTTTTGACCTTCTTGGGATTGCAATTTAACATTATCATCTCCCAGCCACCTACTCACTCAAAGGATGAGCAATGGCTTTATATTCTTGAAACACAGGCTGCAAAAAAGGCATATAAAAATGTCTTTATTCAAAAGTTTGACCGGTCATAAGTTGTAACATTAATTTTCCAAAGCTATGAATGATTTCTATGTGGCTTTGCTGACTTAGAAAAACAATTGGAGGACAAGTTGGTTTGAAACTATTGTGTATTTGTCTGTCTAATATATTTTTACTTTAAAGAATGTGGTTTTGTGCATATTAGTAGCCTCTAATTTATTTGTACTGTTGCCAAGATCCAGATTGTATTTGTGAGTATTTCAAATGCGAGTGAATCCATGTTGATTTGTTTAGTTGGTAAAATAGAGATACTACCTACCCTATAAGCATTTAATTTTAATCAAAATGAAATTTAAGTGTAGTGTTATATTGTAGTGTATGATAAAACGTAATAGGTTTCCTGAATTTAGTGGCAATAAGTTTTATCTATTAAATTAACAGCTATGTTTTTTTCTTCCCTTACTTTTTTTAAATTTTACTTGCCATCCTACCTTTTTACTACTTCAACTGAAAATTTGATTTTCCCTCCAACAATAAACATCTTATGTATGCTGATGTTGAACAGAACTACGAAACCTGCTCCTCACCTTGATAGGTAAGGCCCTCCTATTCTTTCCCATTAGAAGTTTCACATCACTCTTAACAAAACTAGGATTGTATTCAACCTGAGCATTTTGCCATCCTATCACAAATCTATGGCAAGTATTGTCCTGGGGGAGACTGGGGCGGGGGGGGGGAGGCAGCTGGAGAGAAAAACAAGTTGAGAAAACAGTTGGGTAACTTTAGGCCAATCACAAGGAGACCGTGAGTTTTCGTCCCACCTTAGATAAGAAAGCCAGTTGGGTGGCTTTGGGCCAATCACAAGGACACTGTGAGTTCTAGTCCTGCCTTAGGTGTGAAAGCCAGCTGAGTGACTTTGAGCCAATCACCAGGAGACGGGGAGTTCTAGTCCTGCCTTAGATAAGAAAGACAGACTTTGGGCCAGTCCCTCTCTCAGCCTAACCCACCTTCAGAAATAAATAAATGATAATGAGAAAAGTAAAGGCATAAGATTCATAAACACCTAGCCTTCCTTAGGGGTGATGTGTTCTTTGTAAAAGGGGGAGATTGAAGAAAAAACAAAGCCTTGGTGAATCACTATTGCTAGATTGGGAGAGGGGTCTTTACCACCCTTTTTTCTGTCACTCCCCCCGAGAGTAAGTTGAGTGTGTTGAAAACAACAGAGAAAGCTGTTTTGTTTTGTTTTGTTTTTTTGCAAATCTTCAAGTGCCACAAATAAGGACAATCAACCTGAGGGAGTTAATTTCATCCGCAATAAATAAAATAGGTTATGTTGGGTCTAAATGTAGTTTCCTCTGTTGGACTTTAAGTTGGTCATTTAGACAATTAAATGTAGTTCTCAACTTACAGCCGTTCATTTCAGTTACAACAGCTCTAAAAAAAAGTAACCAGTGGCTATTTTTCATACTTATGATCACTGCAGCATCCCCATCGTCACATGCTCAAAATTCAGACACCTGGGAACTGACTCATATTTATGACTGTTGCAGTGCCCCGGGGTCATGTGATCCCCTTTGGCTACATTCTGACAAGCAAAGTTAATGGGTGAAGCCAGATTTACTTGACAACTGTATTACTAACTTAACTTCTTGTGATTCACTTAACAACTATGGCAAGACAGGTTGTAAAATGGGGCAAAACTTACTTAACAACTCTCTGGCGTAGCAATGGAAATTTGGGGCTCAATTGTGTTCTGAAATTTTGGGACTCTGAAAAAGGCTTAAGCCATCTTGCTTAGCCACAGAGGTTATGGGTTCCTTTGCAGTTATAAGTCATGGACGTTGTAGGAAATCCACAAAACATACCCAGCAAAAAGTGAACACAGCTGGCAAGTTCCCCCATTTTGTACAATCTAGTATACCTTTGGCATTTTCTGTTTTTGTAGTGTCCATGTCGTCTTTGGACTTGTTATTTCTGGTTTTGAAGTCATAGAACAAATCGAAAATCTGAAAACTGATTCTGCCAGTAGACCATATGCCGATGTGCGCGTCATTGACTGTGGGGTGCTGGTTACCAAACCGGCAAAAGATGGTAAGCCTTTCTTTCATGGTAGACATGCTTCACGGCAAAAAGGATCCTAGAATCTCTGCAACATTGAATTTGAATTAGAATTCTGGAAACCCTTTTCTGAAACTCTTGGAGGATGTGTCCATTAGATAACATTTCATCTTCTTCGCTCTGGCCGGATTCTGCTGTGATCCTAGGGAAGGCTTTGTTGGATGCTGAATTCTGTATCAAAATGTAGAGCAGAATGTTTACTTGCAAAATAAAGGTCCATGTTCAATACCTATTGTATGAAATGATTGATTGGAGAGAATATTTGTAGCGTTAAACTGTAGGGTCCTTGGTGCTTTTTGACCTTGGTGGTTTTCTTGCCGACTTTCCATGACCCAACTACGGAACATGATCAGTCATCACTCTCATTTAAGACTGATGATGTTACCTAGTTGGTTCATGAAATGTCTGTAAGCAAACAACCAAGGTCAAAAACACCAAGGAGCTCTCAGTCCTCCTCCTCCTCCACAAACCACACTCTCTTCTACCACTGATTGTTTTACCTAGTTTGGTATCTCCAAGGAAATAACCAAGCTCAAAGAGGACCAAGGACTCTATGCTTAAGATTAGGAATAATCTAAACTGCTTAAAGTTAGTGCAACAGGAAGAAGCTGAGTTTAATGTAGAGATGTTAT